CGCGAGCCGGGGTGGGAGGAGGGGAGACCCGGTCTCCACCTGGAGCGGCTCCGGGCGGGCCGGGCAGACCCCGCGACCCGAGCCCCGGGCGCATCCCAGGGCTCGGGGTGAGCGCCCGTGAGGGGACAGGAGGACGAGTCGGGCTCGGGCTACTCCGACCACTAACGCTGCGGAAGACTTGCCCAGGTGTGGATCCGCTCGCGCCTCTTCACGTGTTCACGCGCTTTCGGCTGTTTTACGGGTTTCTTTGGAGGGAAGCTGGCCTGGCCGTAGGGGCGAGAGGTGGTGGGTTTGATCGCGCGGGGACCTGAGATGTAATTTGCTATACAATCGATGCTTATGAAGAGCCCTCTTTAGCCTGGAGAGGGGATGGGGAGCAGAGGTTAAGCGACGCTTGGGAGGTTCTGCATCTCAGATGTTGGATGTAGTTTGCAGTTGGGGCTATTGAAAGTCTTGCCTGGGTTAAGGGTGAGGTAAGATTTGCTCAGGTGGCAGTTGAGAAGGGGAAACCTGCATATTTGTTGATGGAAAACAGCGTCGCTGGAGGAGGACACGCCGCGCGAGGACAGGGATGGGCATGGGGTGGGAAGGAAGTGGCGATGTCTTTTTCACCTGCTGAGTACCCCAAAGTGTAGTGGCTACTGCCCCATAATGGATGTACCAGACTCGGGAAACAAGGGAAGTGGAACTTAGACTGCCCCACCCCCGCCTCCAGTAGGGCTAGAAAAGGGGACGAGCCCAGGGCAAGGGTGTGCGGTGGAAGGAATCCAGCAGAAAGCTCTCTGTATATTTATAAATGACATTAATGACTGATCTGAGCATGCCGTTGTGGTAACAAATGCAGTCTTGCCAAAGAGAGAACATTGCTACTATGTGGACGCGTTTTCTTAAAAGTGAAAATAAATATCCTATTATAATATTGCAAGAGAACCTTCCAGGTACCCTCTGGTCAAAGGCGCTGTATGCACTGTGGAAAACAAACAAAAAACAGCAGCCTACTTTTCTTATATGTCCATGATCTAATAGCAGAAATGTCAATCTAGCCCAAAGAGAAATAAAGCTTAATCAATATAGGTGACATTTTCCCCAGGGTCCTTTCACCTTTTTCTTTTCATGCCTGCTTCATTGCTTGCCTTGTTCTTTGCTCTTCAAGTAGTGACCCTTCTTCTCAACCCCTTCTTTGCCAGGCTCCCTGCACAGGCTCCTTAAACCCACTGAGCTCACCCATCCAAAAAGGTTCACATAAGCATTAGCATTATCACTTAAAGCTGTTCTTAGAATTGATAGGATCTAAACCAAGAAGATCTGTACCATGTATGCAAGTGTGCGCTGTGTATATCTCTTAATTATGCAAAGCACCTGCCCACTTATGGTGGTGTCTGTGCAAGATGATGACTAACTCATTCTCTATCCCGCTCTTTCCTCTCCCTCCCTCCCTTTCACCCATCCTCCCTCTGCACAAATACACACCACTCACTCCTGTCTCTATTCCTTCCTGTCGGTGTTCAATAATGGTTTTACATGAACTTTGTGTTAGAAAGCCTCTGACTACCTAAAGCGTCTAGAAGCAGATTATAGGAGGGTTGCCGGTGCTCAGGCTGCTGCTATGTTTCCTGTCATCACTCACTCACATACACGGCTGTACTTAATGCCAAGTGGCAGCAGAAATGACTTCCTCTCGCGATCCGTAATAATATATTTGCCCTCCCCCGGAAACACATGTAATTAATAATAAAAGAAATAATGCATCATGAAACCATGGGAAGAGCAGATGGATGCTGATATGGTGGTGTTAGTCACCTTTTCTATAGTTGTTGCTGCAAAGACAATGGGACCACTTCTCCCTTTCTGCTGCTTCTGTTGGGTTAAGCAAAGCATTTGGCCCTTTTACTGTGTTCTCTTTTCCATCTTTCCCTTGACAATAGTTTGTGTATTTTAAATAAAGATTTCATTCTGCCAACCCGCAGGAAGCTTTTAACAAGATGCAGCTGAGCGTGTCGATATCTTATATCTTTTTACTGCTGTAGAGGGGTGTTCAGCAACTTGAAACTCATCACAACTTCAGCTTGAAGCTGGCATCTCACAGAGGCAGTGCTCCCTGGGGCTGATTTACTCTTCCTTCTAGACAATTATCCTTTGGTGCCCTGTGGAACAACACAGGCTACTTTATACAATGGAAGAGGGAGAGTCATACTCAACCCCACTCCCTGCTGCACCTTCATCTTACCCAACTTAATATCACCCTAAGTGTTAGCTGTGATTAGCTTATTGTAGTGGTTTTGTTTGTTTGTTTTGTGAATGCTTACTGTTGGGATATCTTTTCTCAGGATGATTGCACCACACCTGAAGAGTTGAGATAATCATGTTATTTAACTACCCATCTGCACCTCCTGTAAAATTTTGGTTATTCTTCCTTAAATAAAAAAATGGTTTGGATGGCCTCTTTAAGTCACTATTGTTTGTTTTCTTTTCAAAGCAACAATCATTTTAGAGGGATAATTTTCAGTGAATCATGTGTTTAAAACAGACGTAACGAATGCAAAGTATAAACAATTTAAAAAGGGGAAATGGAATAGGGCAACACAGCTTGGTCCTGAATAGTAGCCATCTAGCATAATTGCTTGTGCTGTTGCCTTCAATTTTCCATATGACTTTCTTTATCAAAGCTTTTAGTTAGCAGTGTTATATTTGGGTTTACAATTGATTTTAACAGCCTGCTGGCAATAAAAGGAATCTCCAAATTTACATTTGGATATTTGAGGGATTTGGGTCCTGTCTTTCTTGTCTCAGTAAAACAGGCAGCAATAGTAACTCTACAGAAATACAGCAATAACTTTGTATATGTTATCTAAATATATTATTAACAAGATGAGGAAACTTCCTAATTACATAGTACTCCATATTGCAGAACTGAAAAGAAATAGAAACCATGATAAGGAAGTTGGGAAGAGCAAATACCTGTTATCAAGGGGGAGAATGGGCAAAAGAAGTATTAAGTGAACACTTAATGGGTGGGCTTGATTTGTAAGTAATACTCTCTTACACACTGCCATCTTTGTTGCTTTGCCTCTCCTCTGCAAAAAATGTACATTTAATTGATTTAATCTTTCTTTCTTTTGTCTAAAGTTATGTTGATCGGCAGAAACTATAAGTAGAAAAAAATTAATATTGATAACAGTGGGAAAACCTGAAATCACTTAATGAGTCACACTTCTATTTATTTCATACAAGACAAGAATAATCCTCACTCTTCTGCTTTTACTTTGGGCAGTGGAAGCAGAATTTTAATTGACTAACTGGACTAACTGGGTTTAATTTAGTTACTTTGTTATAGATGCTTTGATACCAAGAGAACTACTTAGCAACCCTCATAAAATAATGGGAAAAAATGACTGCCGAATTTAAGGAGTCTTAATGAATGGAATTATATTTGTGATAATAGTGGGTTCAAGGTCGAAATGTTATTGCTCTGAAATCATAGGACTAATGCTAAATTACAAAAAATCTAAATGTTTTGGAAATATAGATGTTGATACAATTATATAGACTTCTTCTTTTCTTTTTTTTTTTATTATTATTATTTTCTATTCCTCAAGCAGTCCTGAATCCCCAGATCCTCCATTTGCCCTTCTTTGTGTCCTAGGGATGGATTTCTCCCAATTACTTCCATTTGGTTTCCCTTTTCCCCTGGCTACTGCTTGAGTATTCTCAGTGAGAGATCCTGGACACGGGAAATAAGAAAGAAAGGTGGGCTCTACTTGCCTCATTTGCCCTGTATCTGGGCATTATGTTTCTTTCTGACACTGTTGCATTGCTGTAAGAATATTGTCCTTTCTTATCATTACCCTCTGTAGCTCTAGTTCATGTTTAACACCAATATTATTGTCTTATCCATTGCATCTTCAGATTTCTACAATGGTCAGAACTCAGGATATTCAGTAGCCCTCATGGATCGCCTAAGAGCAGTTCCTCTGGAATGTATTCTTTACCTAAATTCACTTCAAAATCATTCCTAATTGCCTCCTATGTCTCTCCCATATATTCTCACTGATCTATTTTTTTTTTGTTATTTAAATCCAAAATATTTTAAGATAACAAGAAATATTTTATTCAATTTAGTTGTTTCAATAGTGAACTAATATATTGTCCAATGTGTAGACATGCCAAACATTACCATAAATCAAGCTGGAAATAACTTTAAAAATCTACAAGAAAATTGTGGATGCCATAACTAATTCTATAGCTAAATAATGACAGTGTTTAATATTTCCACAGAAATGTTACATTTCATGCATTAAATGAGTCAAACTCAACAACCCTTTAAAACTTTCTCAATTTTTTTTGCAAAGTAATAGTAGTGCATGCTTTGAAGCTTGCTATTTATTACTTCATGGAGCACTCCATGGTTTGTTAGACACTGTAAATCTC